CTTAGCATTTAGCATCCTGAGCATTTTGGGATACCACATCCATTCCAGTTGGTCAGGGTACCATTCTTACCAGCCATTTTGTTTTATCATCATATTTTGTTACCTTTGTCTTAGTATTTTTCTTGAAATCAGTCTTAAGATGTTTGTGCTTTCCTCCTATACTTATAAGTGTTGCAGATGTCTAAGTAGTAGTTATTATGTTAAAATTACTTGTGTTCTTTGCTTGTAAACTATATGTCCCTGAGGTTAAGCAGTGTGCTTGACCTGAATGTCTCAAATTTAATTGCTTTTATTTAAATTTTTATCTTCATTTTCCATTCCTCAGTATCATTTTTGTTTTTTATTTGTTTTTGCTTTGTTCATAAAGATTTTTTGTTTCTATTACATTATGTAGTTTTGTACCAATGGCTAGAAGCAGATCGTCATGGCAAGAGCCAAGATACTGCAAATACGACTTCAGGTAAAAATAGTTTAAAAATGAATGGGGTATTATAAATCATAATTTTAATTCACCCCATGTCCCATTGTGAATGTTTCTTAAATTTGGTTAGACAAAATCATAGGTGATATTTGTATTTTGTTCTCTCATCTGCATATTAATTTTTATAAACATTTCACTTTGCTTTAAGCCTTGAAAAAATATATTTATTAGTCTAAGCTGTCTTGGCATGTATTTCCTATTTCCTTATGAGGAAAGGCTTAATTAAAGTTTAAATTTAGTAGATTACTTGGGAATATTACTTGAAATTAGTCATATATATAGTTAATAGCATATGATATTAACATTGTAGCTATCTTTTGGAAATGGTAAAAATTTAACATAGGTCCCTTACAAATATATTAAACTTGAAAAAATGTATAGCCCTTATTTGTTTCAGGACTATATTTAAAAGATAAGTTTTAATTTAAGGGTGTTTATATACAATTTCTGTTTCATGTTAATCCAAAATCTCAAGCCCAGTCATTTTTCCTGTGAACTTTTTTCTCCCACTGATGTTAGTAAGACTAGAATAACTACAATTGCTAATTTCTGAATCCCTACCAGTGATATCAGATTCCTTCCCTAATTTGTTTCAAAATAATATTTGCCAAGACAGCTGTACATACAGCAGTGATCTTCCTCGTTGCACTTCTTTCTTTCTTCTTTAACAGTGTAAGAGAAACTGGTGCTGGTAGTGCTAGTAGCTGTGGTGGTAGTAGAGTTAAGATGGTGGAGGTGTTACCGAGGTAGTGGTAGAGATCTTAATAACGTGCAAGTATCGGTGGTGGTGGTGGTGGTGGTGGTGGTGGTGGTGGTGGTGGTGGTGGTGTGTTTTGTATTTTTGTAAAATTCTTTATGGGGGTAAATTGGTTGTACCTTGAGAATGTTGGTGGTTCCACAGGCAACAGAACAATTATATTAAAAATAAAACTGTTGGCCAGGTGTAGTGGCCTTTAATCCCAGCACTTGGGAGGCAAAGGCAGGCGGATCTCTGAGTTTGAAGCCAACCTGGTCTGAGAGCCAGGGCTCTTACACACAGAAACCCTGTCTTGGAAAAGAAAGAAAAGAAAAGAAAAAAGAAACTGTTATGACTTCTCCTATTTATCTTCTGTCCCATTTATAACTTGATATCTGAATGAAGATGTTACTATTTTAACCATGCACAGGCAGGAATTCATTAAAAGGTAAGTATTACAAGTAGTTACATCATGGGTCATATTCTGTTTCTTCTGTTCCTGTGATATTTATTGTTATGGATAAAAATAGGCATTTCAGGGTCCTAGATAATAGGCAAAAGAGAGGGTTTCTATAATTTTGCATTATCTGATGGCAAACTTTATGCTGTGACAATAGCTGTCAATAATATAGGTTTTTTTGTTTGTTTGTTTGTTTGTTTTTCAAGACAGGATTTCTCTGCATTGTTTTGGAGGCAGTCCTGGAACTCGCTCTGTAGACCAGTCTGGCCTCAAACTCACAGAGATCCACCTGCCTCTGCCTCTGCCTCTGCCTCTTGAGTGCTGAATTAAAGGCGTGCGCCACCAACGCCTAGCAACATAGGGATTTTTGCTTGCTTGCTTGTTGGCTGTCCTGGAGCTGGTTCTGTAGACCAGGTTGGCCTCGAGCTCACAGAGATCCACCTGCCTCTGTCTTCCGAGTGCTGGGATTTGAGGTGGGCTGAGTAGTGTAGATTTTAGACCAGAGGATCTTTTTCCAGGCTATTTATTTATAGACCAAAAGTGAAGTGAAAGCTAGTCTTTTTCAGACCAATAAAATATAAAATATCTTAGTGTTCACACAGACATTTAGTACAGCTTAAGAACATCATTTATCCAGATAAATCCTGAATTCTGTGTTCCTCAGTCATATTGGCTCATAGTTAACATTTATCTCCTCAACCTTTGGTCATTAGATATCCTAGGAGTAAGGTGTAAAAATTGATGAATTTCCTAAGAAAGCATTTATTTATTATGTATACAGTGTTCTGCCTGCATATATGTCTACAGGCCAGAAGAGGGCAACAGATGGTTGTGAGCCACCATGTGGTTGCTGGGAATTGAACTTAGGTCCTCTGGAAGAGCATACAGTGCTTTTAACCACTGAGCCATCCCTCCAACCCCCAGAAAGCATTTATTTATTTGTCTGTTTATTTATTGAGAAAGAACTCAACTCTGTAGCCCAGGCTGGCCTGGAATTCATTATGAAGCCCAAGTTGGCCTAGTAGTCACAGTGGTCTTCATGCCTCTGCCTCTCAACTGTTGGAATTATAGACATGAAAAACCACACCTAGATAGGGGTGCCTTTGACAGTTTCTCTCCTGGAAGTAGAAGCTCTCAACTCCTAGAATATGAAACTATTTATAGTAGTATATTATTTGTGATTTATTAAAGCTTGATTGAAGATTGAGAAAAGCAAAGTCAGCATCAAGCTATAGAGATCAGGTACACACCTTTTAATCCCAGCAGCCAGAAGCTAGGAGGTGGTGGTATACACCTTTAATCCTGAGAGCTGGTACGTGGATCAGCCCTTTCAGCCTGAGCTAGAGGTGAGAGCCAGTGGCCAGCTACTTTGCTTTTCAGATATATAGCTTGAAGTTTGAACCAGTCTCTGGGTCACTTATTTTTCGTGTTACACTACATACTGGAAAGATACAAAACTATGGTACTTGACTAAAAAACAGAGACTCCAAAGGAAAATGAACATTTGTTAAGGACTTCATTTACAAGCAGTAGTTTACTTGTTTTCAGCAAATACATTTAAATTGCGTGCTTTATAGAAGTTCCTATACATTTAACAGTGTAGTTGGCAATAAAATATCAGTGTGTAACATTCCCTTGTGTGATTTCTTTTTAACTCACACAACTCAAAGCTGTTTTAGTATTTTATCTTTTCATATTTTTATCCCAAGTGGACACTGAGTCAAGTTTCGCAGGATGTCAGTGCCACTTCTAAGTCTGATTGCTTTGCAATTCTTTTAATTGTGCAAATACTGGTAAAATACATTTATATCTTTCCATAATTGTACTTAGTACTTAATTAGAACTGAAAAATAGAAGGCATCCAGTTCTTTAGTCCCAGCACTCCCGAGGCAAAGACAGCTGAATCTCTGTGAGCTCCAGGACAACCTGAGCTGATAATAGTCTCAAAAAGACCAAAGGAAAAAAAAAAAGAAAAGAAAGAAAACCACAAGGGATGGTGAAATTCCTTTGAGGTCTTCTAATTCCTGGATATTAACTTTTTTACACTGAGTGTTTAAGATCCATCTGATCAAGCTTTTTTTATGAAACTAAGCTATTTGGGGATAACAGTTTTATGGAAATTAATTTGGTCAAGGAAATAGACAACAAATCTGATTACTTTCACTAATTTTTTTCCCCCTTTGGGGGTGTGTGGTTCAAGACAGGGTTTCTCTGTGTAGCCCTGGCAATCAAGGAACTTACTCTGTAGACCAGGCTGGCCTTGGACTCAGAGATTAATCTGCCTTTGCCTCCCAGATACTGGGATTAAAGGTGTGTGCTGCCTCTGTCTGCTGTTACCTTTCTAGAAAATTGACAGGTGTTGACTTGGGTATAGAATTACTTATTTCTTTAAAAGGTTAACGTGTTTAGTGTGTTTTACCCATTAGGCAGCTCAGCAATGATGTTTCTGATTTTGTTGATTCAGTCACTAAAAACTTGTATGTAAAGAAAGCCCTGTCTGTCAGACACTTTTGTGGCAACTTAAACAAAATTGTCCACCTGCACTGCAGCATTGTGTTTGTGTGAAAAACTTCAGTATCATAACCTTCAGCTTAAATCAAGGTATTTTTTTTTTCCCGAGACAGGGTTTCTCTGTATCATTTTGGAGGCTGTCCTGGAACTCGCTCTGTAGACCAGGCTTGCCTCAAACTCACAGATTCACCTGCCTCTGCCTCCCCAGTGCTGGGATTAAAGGTGTGCGCCACCAAGGTGTTTCTTCAGTGAAACATTTCTATATAGCTTTTATTATTGTATGTTGAGATGAGGATAATAAATTCATGATATTAGTGTATTTTGCCTGTTAGTGTTAAATATAGCTGTGATTTTAAAATTCAGATTCTAAAGTTTTTAAGTATAGGTTTCTTTTTTTGTCTTTTTTATTTTTCTTTATTTATTACTTTTTTGGGGATTTTGAGACAACGTCTTACCTTGGCTAGCCTGGGATTTTTATATAGAATTTACAGAGATCCATCTGCCTCTGCTTTCTGAGTGCAGATTTTTTATTGATAGTTCTACAGTTGACGAGTATTTTTCAAATAAGGTTATGAAATGTAATTAGTAAATGTTTTTTAAGATACACACCTTTGATCTCAGTACTCAGGAGGCAGAGGCAGGCAAATTTCTGAGTTTGAGGCCAGCTTGGTCTACAGAGCAAGTTCCAGGACAGTCAGGGCTACACAGAGAAACTCTGTCTCCAATAATATTTATATATCTAGTAAATATTTTTAAATTATTATGTCTTTTTAAGTTCCTGTTATTCATTGATTATTAATTATTTGTTGTAGGTGAAAATTTTGACCAGAGTCCTTTGAGAAGAACGTTCAAATCTAAAGTTCTGGCACACTACCCTCAGAGCCTAGAATGGAGCCCTTTTGATCAAGATGCAGTAAATATGGTATATGCTTTTCTTTTTCTTCCCTATTTCTTCAGCACCTTTTATTAGGATATAATGTCTATATTTAATACCACTAATCTTTTAACTTATATGAGAAATAGTATTTTTAAGATTTTACTTTTTAAAGGCTTGTGTCTAGTTTTTGTATGCTACATGTGTATGAGTGCCCACAGAGGCCAGAAGAGGGCATCAGCTTCCCTGCAGCTGGAGTTAGAGGGTCAGTTGAGGTCCTCTGAAAGAATATTCTCTTAAACACCAAGCCATCTCTCCACAGACCCCTGGGACATAATACTGTCTCTTCTTACAGATGGGGAAACTGAGTCTCAGAGAGGTCTCAGATCTCCCACAGCAGTTATCACAGTATATTACTTGTTAGTAATATACAACAGAACCTCAAGTCCATTTTATTTCCTACTATTCAGCTGTGTTTGGGTTTATATTAATACACGGTGCTTGGTAAACAGTGATAAACCACTGTTTGCTTGAGGGAAGGAGCACAATATGTTTCCATATATCAGTGAATAGTGTATAATTGGTTCCTATGTTGTCATGAAGATGGAAAGGAACTCTAAAACTGCTTTATCTAGGGGCTAGAGAGATGGCTCAGCGGTTAAGAGCACTGACTGTTCTTCCAGAGGTCCTGAGTTCAATTCCCAGCAACCACATGGTGGCTCACAACCACCTTGAATCAGATCTGGTACCCTCTGGTGGCCTGTAGGCAGAAAGCTGTATACACAATAAATAAATAAAAATATTTAAAAAACCTGCTTTATCTATCTATCTATCTATCTATCTATCTATCTATCTATCTACCTACCTACCTATCTTTCTACCTACCCACCCACCCACCTACCTACCTACCTACCTATCGTATGTATGTATGTATGTATATGGACTCAGCTATGCCACAGCATGCATATGGAGATCAGAGGACAATGTCTTTTCCTACTGTGTATGTCCTGGTGATCAAAGTCAGTTGGTCAGATTTAGTCATAAGTATCTTTTCATCCACTGAGCCATAGTGCCAACGTGTTTTTCTTTAATAAGCAGGATTTCACTCTAGCCCTTTTGGTAGTCTTTCTGCCTCAGCCTCTCAAGTGGTATGAGGTAAGAGGAGCTTATTGAAATGTCCCTAGGAATTGTTTATTAAAGCATTTGAATCCAGACAATATGTAACCAAGGAGTGATTAGAAGTTTCCTTGGTCAGGGATTTAGCTCAATGGGTAAAAGTGCTTGCCATGTATCCCCAATGACACTAGTTCAGTTCTCAAATCCCATAGTAGAAGGAGAGAACCAACCTGTGAAAGTGGTCTTCTGACTTTGAAACACATACACTTACTTAGCCGACACCCCACACACCATGTGTATGTGCTTACAAACAACAATAGTAAATTTTACAGAAATGGCTCCTTTGAGATTTTTACAAAGGAGAAAGGTAATAGTGTTTTTTTTCTTTCAGTATTCTAGGCAGCACACAGCTTAAAGATCTTGGCAATGTTTTAGACAGTCACCACCTCTATAGCAAACATAATTCAAAAGACCACAAGTGAAGAAGTAAGAGGTTGCACAAGATGGACACAGAAACTACTGAGGACAGATTGAGATCTGTGATAGATGTAGTTCTTGAGAATTTCAAAGGTAGAACCAAAAAACATAAAAGATTCCATTATGCCTTGATTGTCAGGAAAGGAAATCATTTAGCAGATGCCTGCTAGGTACTTGAGGTGTGCTGTTTTCACATATGCATTGTGATGGTTAGTCTCTGCGTGCCAGTTTATCTGGATTTGAAATCACTTAGGAGACACACCTCTAGGTATGTGATGTTTGCGATAGGTTTAACTGGATGCAGGGGGCACCATCCCATAGACTTTGTGTCCCAGACTGAATAAAAAGTGATATAGAGAAGGCATCTGAATTTCTCTCTGTCTGCTTCCTGACAGTGTATACAAAGTAAGCAGCCACCTCATGCTCCCATTATTACATGCCTTCTTTCCATGATAGCCTATAGCTCCTCTCACATGGTAGCTGAGCCAGAGCAAAACTTCCCTGTGGTCTCAGTGTCCTATTGCTGTGAAGAGACACCATGACCATGACAGTTCTTATAAGAGAACACATTTAATTGGGTGCTTTCTGAACAGTTTTGAGGTTTAATCCATTGTCGTCGTGGCAGGGAGCATGGAGGGATGCAGGCATCCTGATCCATGGTCAGAGAGAGGGAGGGTACCAGTGGACCTGGGTTGGGCTTTTGAAGCCCACCCTCAGTGACATACTTCCTCCAATAAAGTTAAACCTTCTAATCTTTCAAATAGTGCTACTTATGGGTGACTAGGCTTCAAATATATGAGCCTATGGGGGCAGTCTTTTTTTTTTTTTTTTTTTTTTTTTTGGTTCGTGGAGACAGAGTTTCTCTGTGTAGCTTTGGAGACTTAGTTCTTGTAGATGAGGCTGGTTTCGAACTCACAGAGATCCGCCTGCTTCTGCACCTGGCATCTTTTTTATTTATTTATTTTTTAAGATTTATTTATTTTATTGACATGTAAAGCTAGCTTGTTTCTAATTTAAATAAAAAAGACAAAGATTTATTTGTTTTATGTGTGAGTGCTCTATCTACATGTATGCTTTTATGGTACAAGGGGGCATCAGATCTGACTAGAGATGGTTGGGAGTCACCATGTGGTTGCTGGGATTTGAACTCAGAACCTCTGAAAGAATAGCCAGTGCTTTTAACCTCTGAACCATCTTGAATAAGAATGTCTGATGGTGGGGGGGGCATTCTTATTCAAGCCACCATGCTTTCTTAGTGTTTATTGTCAGGTATTTGGTCATAATGATGAAAAAAGTAATTAATATACATGTTTATGTATGCCCAATGTGAAGTCTTGTCCTTGTTTTATAGATGTTAGGTAACTTGTCCATAATCATGCAATGAGTATCTGAGTGTAGATCATTCCTTTTTTCGGGGGAGGGGGCTTTCCAGACAGGGTTTCTCTTTGTAACAGACCTGGCTGTCCTGGAACTCATTTTGTAGACCAGGCTTGCCTCTAACTCAGAGAAATCCACCTGCCTCTGCCTCTTAGGTGCTGGGATCAAAGGTGTATACCACCACCACCCAGCTCCTTTTTTTTTTTTTAATAATTCCAAATTTATTTAGAATGTGGGTTTACTTGCCATTAGCAATTACGTTTTGTTATGAGTGCTCTTACATTCTTAATTTTCAATTGGAAATAAATTCTTCTCCCACATAATACCCATTCAACCACAGTTTCCCCTCACTCCATTACTCCCAGTTTCTCCTCTCCTCTCCCCCAGATCTACTTCCCCTCCATTTCCCTTCAGAAAAGAGCAGGCCTCCAAGAGACAACATCCAAACATGGCAAAGCAAGATACAATAAGACAAAGCAAAATCCTCATATCAAGGCTAGACAAGGCAACCCAACAGAAGGAAAAGAGTCCCAAGAGCAGGCAAAAGAGTCCGACACACCCACTCACACTGTTAGTGTCATTTTAAGGTCTGGAGTCAGCTTGGCAGTTAAGAGCACTTGAACTGTCTTACCTTCTTCTGTATACATTCAGTTGTCTGCTTCTCTGGGTTCCTATACATCTGCCTTGGTTCAGGACCAACAAGAGCTCTTACTTTCACTTATTAGTCACTGTTTAATCAGCTTTTACTCCTGTCTATTCTGTTCTTCCATTAGCTTCTGCTTATTCTGATACTTCTCTTAGCTGGAATCTCTTTCCCACGGTGGATTATTTTTTCAAACGTATTTATTTTAGGTTCAGTGATATAACTCAGCAGACGAAGGCACTTACCTCCAAACCTGCACTGTGGAAGGATAGAATCAGTTCCCAGAAGTTATCTCCTGACCTCTACACATACACCATAGCATGGTTGCATACATGTTTTAAGATTGCTTATTAATGTGCATATTTGTGTGGGTATGTCAGTGCCAGTGCCTGTGCAGACCAGAGATATAGGATCCCCTGGAACTTGTGAGCTTCTTGACATGGGTACTGGGAACTGAACTCTGGTCCTCTGCAAGAACAGTATTAATGACTTAATGACTAAGCCGTTTCTCCAGCACCCATGGTAAATTCTTATTGATTCTTAAGATTTCATTTTGAATAGAATGTTCTTAGAGAAGGTGTCACTTTCCACTTGGTCACTCATGGATGGCATTGTCCAGTGTTTGGTTGTAAGACACATCTTATTTTCAGTTGTCAGTTGGAGAGGATGCTGTGAGCAAACTGTGATTTATGTCTCAGGTTTCCTGAGAGACTTAATGTCTTTGTTCCTGGTAATTTATACAATTCTGACTTTGAAAAAGTCATCATACTTTCCAATTCAGGATTCCCAGAATTTAGAATACAAATTTTGCCTTTTTAATTTGTAGAAAAGCGTTTAAAGAAAATTCTTACATCTGTTATCTGTGGCATAGGAAGTCTTTCTTCACTTGAATATAACTTTTGGCAAGCTTTTCCTGTAAATGTTTGAATGTGTGCTCAAGAAAGCTACAAACCCTTAACTGAACTGAATATTTGGCCACTTTTCAAAAACATTGTGAGCTTTTTGATTCTCTGGTTTAGATGGTAGGAAAGCCTGTCAATAAAATTAAGTCTTAGCCTGCCTAGTGACATAATCTTAGCACTTGGAAGACAGAGACAGAAGGATCAGGAATTCAACTTCATTCTTGGCTGTCTACATAGAGAGTTCATGACCAGACACTATCAGCAAAACAAAAACCAAAACCAACAATAAAAACAACAAAAAGCATGAAATAAAAAAAATTTAAATTTGACTTTTCGCAGTGTTTTTGCATGTCACTACATTTCCATATTGTCTACCTGATATAAAAAGAGAAGCCTTGGTGAGCTAAAGACATGTCCCGGCAATTAGGAGCACTTGCTGCTCTTGTGGAAGACCTGGGTTTAATTCCCAGCTCACAACTGTCTGTAACTCCAGTTCCAGGGAATCTGGCACTCTCTTTAGGCTTTCCTGAGTA